CTCCCAACCTTATATTTACCAGCAAGACGTGGCAGGAAAAAATAAGAGGGTGTCTTGGGCTAGCCTTGACACGGAGCAAGGGACCTCGAGGAGATCACGGCTCCTAAGTGTCCCCGCCGTGACAAATCATAAAGATAAAGAAAAGTTCATAAGCAGTACATAGCTCTGAGCTTTTCCTTCACTTGTCTGTTCTGATGACTCCAGCTCTGTACACCTATTTGTGTGCTACATAGGTTTTTGGAGGATGCTGCAGAGAGTCAAAAGACTTTTAAATGATTTCTAAATAGCTGTGTGGAGGCTGGAGGGTTGTTGGGAAGAAAAGACTGTTGGGAGTGAAATGAGGAAAAACTGCCTAGGATTTATTCAGGTCCCCTCAGACATTCTGTTGCTATTGTAGGTTGGAAAATACATCACTGAGGCTATGACCCAGCCAAAGAGTTTAAGCAAGTTATTAACATGAAGCCCTTAAGTAGTCCCACAAGTTTCCTCAAGTTAAGGACAAGGCCAAGTACTTTCTGGATAGGGTTTTCAGCAAGTAATTGAAGCTATGCAACATATTTCCACCAGTTGGATATGAACACACAACGAGAAAGGGCAGTGTCATATGGCCAGTCAACTCTTCACAGACTACCACAAAATGCTTCATGGCTCTCAAAGTGAAAGTTTCTGGCACAGAAATTAGAGATGGAAAATAGCCTCTGCCTCATCTGGATCATTCTATTCAAAGCATAGCTGCAGAACCTCTCTTCCAGTAGCACCTAGTAGCACCACCACTTGTAAAGGGAAGGTTAAGAGTCAAAAAAAGAATGGGGCCCAAGGGAGACATCAAGAAGGATTCTTTTAAAAAAAAAAAAATATTATGCAGACAACACTGTACATCTCCATTCAATCCTATTTGGATAATGCAGTTTCTGTATTCCTATAATGCCTGACTAGCTTCTTTGATGAAAAGCTGACTTTAACTCTGTCCAGAAAACAGAATGACAACATGATGAAGGTTATGACTGCTCTATGTGCTGAGTCTAACTCATGATAAGAAGGTTTATGGCCTATACATAATATTGGAAGAATACTTTGCTCCTGGATTTGCAGATAGCAACGGAGGCTCTTACTGCGTTTGAGACCTGTGCTTATCTAAATAAGTGTTGGTTTCCCCTCCTGATGCAGACACCACCACGTTTCCTCTAGATGAAATTGCCAGCTCTAGAAATTCACTCGCAAGCATCAGCTACAGAAAAACATGGCTATTCTACCTGCTGATTGGAGTGTGTCAACATGAGTGCATTAGTCCTGTGCTCTGTGAACAGCACAGGTATCTATCAACTTCCAATTTTAATGCAAGGCACTGGCTCTGACTGACAAAGCTGTGTTTACTTTGGGAATACTGTTATTTCAGTAAATGCCTCCCTTGTTCAGTCATCACAAAAGTTGAAACTGTAGTCCTGTTGAAATTAGCCGAGG